CTTGACAGTCCTTTGGTGTATAAAACATTTGAATTTGTTTCAATGTGGAATTTAAGAAACTAAAACATGAACACGGGAAAAATAAAACATTTTAAAGCCCAATTTATGGTGTTGTGTTTTTTTGGGGTCTTAAGAAATCACTGACTAATCCAAGGTCATAAAGTTTTACTGTTTTCTTCTAAGAATTCCATAGTTTTAACACTCGGATCCATTTTGAGTTAATTTTTTGTGTATTGTGTGAGGTAGGGATCTAATGTCATCCTTTTGTATGTGGCTATCTAGTTATGCCAACTCCATTTGCTGAATACTTTTAGCACCCTTGTCAAATGGGATGTATCTACCTCACAATTGCAAGAGGTTATAGAAAAACAGCCAATTTTCTAATTCATGGAACTTAAATGTTCCAATATTTTAACTCCTGAAATAAAAGCCCATGTAAATGTGCATTTACTTTTGGGAAATGAAAAATCCATTTCCCTCAAAAATACTAAGACTCCTTAAATATCAGTGTGATGAGAAACTATCAAATACTATATCTTCTAATGATAGACCTATTACTTTAAGGCTTGAACGTTTACCCATAATCTTTACATTATTAAAAGTAAATGAAGACGGTCACAAAAGTAGCAATATGACAATGAACATGAAGGAAATTAAATTCTCCTGGAAGTTAGATTTAAGTACTGATAGAATTTTTAAAGAAAAAGCATGGATTTTCAAAATCCAACTTAAATAATGTAGTGTGTGGAATATAATACAATAAGCTCAACTATATGGGATCAACTTGGAAGTTTGAGAAACGCAAAAATCAAGTCTACTTTTGTATCATCTTTGTAGCTGTCTGGGGTTCATGAGGACATTTGATACAGAGTCTGAAGACAACAACTCACAAACATAATGAGATCCGTTTAATAATTTTTGAAGATTTTTCCTGTAAAATGGCTTGTATTTCCACAGGTTACAATAGTGAAGAAATAAACTTTTCAATTTGACATGAAATATAAAAGAACAGTTTTACAAATATATCCATAAAATTTAACTGCTTGTAACACTATACATGGTAAATAGGACCACCCCTTAACTTCTAGACTATTTAATACAGAGAAATGATCTGTCATCTCACCTAAAAAGAAATAATTTCCCTTTCATCAAGTTTACTTTTGTTTAGAAACGGTTAAGTAGGACTGGAAAAATATTTGCTTTTCCCTATCTTCCTCTAGGGCTTTTTCATGAAGGTGAAAACTTGAGAGGATATAAATTTTACTTAAAAAGAAATACTGAACCTTCTTTGTTTTACTAGTTTTGTAATGTTTACATTGTTAAAAAAAAAAAAAAATCCTGGAGTTGTCTCCTTGGCCTTGGGGTCCTAAAGAAATGATAACAGAGCTGTGTTCTATTTTCAGCCCTGGAAGAGGAACGTCATCCCCTCAGCCGATGAAGGCTAAAACTAGGGGGCTATAAGATCACCTGCCAAGGGAACGGAGCTGGATCTGGCTTAAAATCAAGGTTGTGTGGTTTGCCTATCAGGAATTCCACTGTTGCAAGGCAAAACTGCCTGAAGCTCACTAGATCGTAGTCAGCATGAACAATGCTGAAATCGCACCTCCTTTCACACAAATGCAAAGCACAGAATAGCTTTTAAAAAGTTGATCAAAATCATAGAACTGCAGCTAACAATTCTTCAACCTAGGAGGAAATTCAGGAGAAAACACACTCCCTTTAAACTTTCAAAAGTGCCCAAATAACAATACTGAGCTCTCCCAAAAGGGGTTTGAGTTTCATGTCAGCAAAAATGAAATAAAGCATGGAAGCTTGATGAAGAAGAGTTCTCGACTTTCCTAACACAGTATATGTAATAACTTAAGGTTTCCCTATTGACACTGGAAATAAATTCTAATACAATCATGCATATGCCAGGTCCTGGCATACTTCTGCATCCAGATTCATTAGTCTCCTTAATGGAGCCCATCATTTTTCCAATGGCTTTCTCCTTTCTTTAAACCCTAACCCTGAAATTCTATAACCAGTTACGTCACGTGGCTTCCCTGAGGCACAAAGGTACCAAACTCTATAATTAACTATTGAGGAATGATAAATATGCTCTCTATATAAAAAGATTTTAATTCTTTTGGGCCACAGTGGGGGGGAAAGAAAAACCCAGAAAGTTTAATACTTACTCTGCAGTGTGAACTGTAGCCCTTTTTGCAAAAAAAAAAAAAAAAAAAAAAAAAAAACCAAATAAGGGAAATGTTGAGTTGCAGCATGCATGACCTGACAGCACCAATTATTAATAAAAAAATTCGACTAGAAAAATATTCAGGGTTGTATCCCATCCATTTTATTTTTTAATAGTAAACTGACAACTGAAGAAATTTACTATGGGAATACATCACCGGGGCGTCACTTCTAGTGACCTATTCACAAAAGGCATTTTGATCAGGTCAAGATCAGGATAATTCCTAGGTGTACAGCTGGGGGAGCAGGGCTCGCTCCTCAAGAGGGCAAGCAAAACAAAAACAGAAGTCATCTCTGCGAAGTTACTTTTTCTGAACTATGTTACTCTACTTTGGCGAGCTAGACTTGTATATTCTCACAAACTAAATTGCTCTCATGTCTGGAACAAACTCCTTAGTCCAAGTTATAAGCAAATCTTGCTGGAAGTGGCCAAGCTGAACCTGGCTTCTTTTCCCAGACTTGCCACCTCTCTGCGGTTCCTTAGGCAGAATGGGAGGGGATCTCACTGGGAAGTCAAAGGAGAAGGTGTGAAGAGAGAGTATGTTTCCTGTTAGCCCTTCCAAGAGCTTGGGATTTATTAGCCAAAATTTGACTTCTACTTAGGTATCTCCATTTACTAAAAGTCAAAAGGAACTTTTCACATTGGAAGATTATCTGGGGGCATGTGTTTCATGTAAAACTGCTAGACCCTGAACTGTTGTAGTCTTTGAAACGGAAGATTACAGCAGATCGTAACTTTCCGGAAATGTTTTTGATAGGAAAAATCCAGCCCTTCTAGATGCAAGGCCATTTACTTTACAAGATGCTTTTAGGGAATCCAGGCTCCTCAAACCACTTTCTAGCCAGAGAGCAAGAAAAGGGACTGTTGCCTCCTTTATCATTTTGTGGAGCCCAAAGAAGCACAAATTAAAAAGACTCTAAGAGAAAGTTAGTCATTGGAGTCTGAGGCTAAAGAAAAAGGCATGTGACACATGAATCTAGGCAATTCCAGCTGTCTGGAGATAGTTTATGACTTACCGTATCAGTAAGAGGACTGTTGTTGGATTTTTGCATCACTTAAAAATTACCAAAAATGTCTCCTCCCACACAATCACCTCCATTGAAAAGTAAAGCTTTTTTAAAACTGAGCAGCTTAACTTTTTAGATACTAGGTCAAATCACGCGGTAGCAATCAACAGTAATCCCTTTAAGGAAAAAGACATTCAAGATGTGTTAGAACAATTGAAAACAGGGCAACATATTTACCAGGAGGCAAAACATGGAAAGATGGTCAAGTGTAAATGCAGTCTATTAGAAGCCTATAAATTCTATACCTTTAGAAAGGTTAAAATGTAGCATGAATCTGCAATGGTCAATTTTAGAGGATGTTAGTATAAATAAATACTTGCTCTGTGCGGCAGCAATCTACTTCATGTCAGCCAGCTGTGGCAATCCGTCGCCTGTCCTCAAGAACCTTTACGTTCTGGTAGCAGGGATACCGTAGGTACTGAGGACAGAGAATGAGTATCTGAGAATTATTCAAAATGAAATGGAGCTAACAGAAGGGTTGGTGGTGCTCATGTGAAATTCTGATTTAATTATTCCTCAGTAAACACTCATTTGCTCTCTTGAAATCTGGAATTCCAAATTATCCCTGCAGATGTACTGCTTGGTGTTGTATATATCTAATGATCACATTTAAATTTGGTTTGATTTGCAAACATTTTCAAAACTTACAGGGCTCCATAAGCTGCAAGAGAAGGTGACAGATGGCAGTGAGGGAGTGAACAAAAGCCACTGAATCGTGGTGATACGTTGCTTTTAGGCTCTCAGAAGTTTGGCCTTTTTAAGGAAGGAAAAAAAACACCTTAGGAAACCCCAACAAGTGGTTTTAAAAAGTAAAATCTTATTTTTAATCACTCATAAATCTTGAGCAATTCAGTAAGCAAAGGAACTTGATGGTATAGTACCCAGGCCATGCTGACTGCTGCAATTAATAATCACCCTTAGTTAATGAATTTTTAAGAGTTGCTGCATTTTAATCAACCCAGCGGTTGTGGCCATACAATCAGGGACAGACCATCTTAAACAGAAGCAACAAAAGGCAGACTAAAAAGTTACGGAAATGTCTTTGAAATGCCAAGGTATTTCATGACTGAGTAGATAAAGTCATCGAATTCCACCCAACTAAAAACAAAAACACACGACAGTATATGAATATTCTTTTCCCAAAAAAAGAAAAATCTGAAAACCCCGGATTTCAAAACCGCCACCTGTGCCTAACATCTCCCCACCACCACCGCCGCCACCACAGTGGGAGCTGGTCAGATTCTAGCCTGTATCAAGTACTCCCAGGCCCTGCATGTCTTTCCATTCACACCTACACCACGCAGCATGGAAGGTCGCCCATTTAGAGCCAACTTCTGAATAAATTTCTTCTACATTTGTAAAATAGGATTTTAAAGTCTCATCCAAGTTTACAAAGGAAAACATTGTTTGAAAACTCAAGGTTCAAATAAAAGCATGGCATTTTAAATCCAATTATGACAAAGATTATGGTTTCATCAAGCAGGCTTCAATGACAATGCCGCTTTTTTGAGCATGCAACACACCCGATGCCTTAAATTCCTGGCATGTCTCGTCGCCATGTCCCCCCCCTTCCCCCCCCACCAGCCTCAGCCCCCCCTCCCCTTAATAAACAGCATTATAAAAAGGTAAAATCTAGAGTTAGTGGCAAAATCTTCACAGTAACTTGTTAATAAAGTCGTAGATGGCTGTCAAGGGCATCAGTCAACTGGACCTTGGAAAATTAATTTGATGCAGTTCTGTTCCCCAACCAGCTGGGTAGCACAGAAAGGGCAGGCAGCGTGAAATGCGTGAGTTCCATGAGGCAACGGAATCTGAGACCAGTATTTCGCAGACTTTTCTGAGCACACGTGTCCACAAGGGGTGAAAGCATGAGTTGGTGGTCCTGCGTCTACATAAAACCCTGCCTCGCAGCCGAGCCAGAGAGGCACGTAGGGGCCCACAGTCCTGCACATGGGACACTCTCTCTCATTGGCCTCTGTGTCGCTCCGGTGGCCCCAGTTGTGGTACCCGTGCACGTGGCCGCAGCTGAGGTATGCCCAGGGCTGCTTCTCCTCCACCACCTCCTTCCTGTTGATGCTGGGGAAGGCCAAGGTGTTGAGCCCCACGGGACACTGCGGCCGGGCGGCATTAATCTCCTGCCGGAGCGCCTCGATGTGTTTCTGCGTTGGAGTATGGAAAAGGCCGTCTGCTGTTCTCCAGAGAAGGGTGGCCCCGCACAGGTCAATGAGGGAGCCGTCCTGCAGGACATTGGTCTCACTCTCCACCTAGAACAAGTTTGAAAGACATGACTTTTAAAAGCAAAATTCAGCAAATCACACTAACGTTCTTTGCTCTCAAGATAGAAATCATCTTTCAAGGAAACACAGGCAGGCAGCTTACCCCCTGCCTCCCTGAAGAACAAGACTGGGGGGTGGGGGGGGCAGGTAACCCCTTCCTGGAGCTGGTTTCCTCACTGGAACAATGGATGGAACACGGATCTGCCATACTCACAAAGCCCTAAAGAGCACACATACACCCAGCTTTACATGTTCAATTACTGTACTGTGGTTATTTAATGAACATCACATATCTTATAGAGGAAAAGTGAAACTCTAAGTCAGTAACACTGTTCTTCCTTGATCTCACACAGGACAGGAGATGTCCTACCAGTCCATGCAGTATTGACTGTGAAGATTCGCTGTGACCAGAAGTGATCCAGAAGATGCTTGTGGGCCCTGCGATAATGACTGCAGTGGTCTGGACACTGCCTGGTCACCCTCAGCTTCATACAACATACTGCCTGTCCTGCATTGCTATGGTTTGGAGAAGTGTTCGCCATTAGCCTTCATTAAAAAAAAAAAAAAAGTTTTAAATGTTTATTTTTGCGAGAGAGAATAGAAGTGGGGAACGGGCAGAGAGGGAGGGGGCTCTGCACTGACAGCAGCGAACCCCATGCGGGGCTTGAACTCATGAACTGTGAGATCATAACGTGAGATGCTCAACTGACTGAGCCACCCAGGCGCCCCTAGGTTTCGCTTTTAAAATGGAATGCTAGGCACCTGACGAGAAGCGGCAGACACAGCGGGCGGGAGCCCAACCAGTGCCCTCCATGTGCCTGCTGTGCTCTGAGCCCCGTGGGTAATAAAGCTTCTCTCCCGTCCTGAAGACACGTCTTTAGTGGTGGGAGGCAGACACGCTACAGCCAGGAGCCAGCGAAGGTCAGTACAGCGCTGAAATCGTCGTGCGAGGCCACATCACACAGGCTGAGTGTGGCCTTTGCAGCGCACGGCCTTGGGCTGCACCTTGGCTCCGTCACGCACTAGCTCCAACCTGGGGCGGTGACTTCAGCAGCCTGTGCCTAGGTTGCCCCTTCCGTAAAACTGGACAAGGGGATCTTGAGGGTTGAAACAGACCAAGTTCTGAGAACTGGCATGCAGTAAGCACTGTGTACATGTTTGCTACTTTCGCTTTGATGACAGAAGGTCAGAAAGGCTTTTTGAAAAGGGTTTGCCTGGTGCGGAGATTTGAAAAAGTTGTCAGGACCCAGTGGGTGGGCTAGAAGACTCTCCAGAAAGAGGCATGCAAAGGCTCAGCAGCACGGGGCACGAGGGAGCAGCAGTTATTCCACAGGTGACCGAGCCCGGCTGGACGAGAGCCTCAGGCTGGCCTCCCGTGCCTGGAGGGCATCAACACAGAGTTTTAAGCGGCTATAAAAGAACAGATCTGCCTTTCCCAAAGGTCACTTCCAGAAGTGTGGAGGATGGGTTGGATGGGTTAAGAACACCGTGGGAGTTCTCTCTCCGGGCCGAGAGGATGGGTGCGCCTCAACAAAGACAATCCATGGCAACAGCCCAGGCAGAGATACTGAACACTGAGGATTTAGCTCCTGGATTAAGAAAGACACGCTTCTGGATCTGGCTTTATTGTCTGCATGGGAGGAGGCTTTCCGGGCACAGGGAATCTAGGAGAAATGGCAGATTTGGGGGAAGGGACAGAAATTCAGTTATGGGTGTGCAGAAGCGGAGTGTCGTGTGGGTGTCCGCACAGTGATACACAGGAGGCTTGCATGACTGAAGAGCTGGCTTAGAGAAGCCGGTCTGGGACTTAATGGCATTGGGGTGAAGCCCCGGGAAGTGGACAAGACTGTCCAGGCAGGGTCTCAGGGAGGGCAGAGAGGCCCAGGGACAGAACCAGGGCCATCCCCAAGCAAGGCAGGGGCAAAGAACCGTGAGAAGGGCAGGCAGAGAAATTGTTTGTCATTCTCTGACTCAAAAGTCTTTGCTGGCTCTCCTCTGCCCTCAGGATCAAGCCCAAACTGAACATATATATTTATAAAAAACCTAGGAATAAACCTAACCAAATAGTAGCTGAAAACTATACAAAACTTATGAAGGAAGTTGAGGAAGACACAAAGAAATAAAAAAACATTCCATGCTCATGGATTGGAAGAATTAATATTGTTAAAATGTCAATACTACCCAAAGCAATCTACACATTCAATGAAATCCCAGTCAGAATTGCACCAACATTCTTCTCAAAGCTAGAACAAAGCTAAGATTTGTATGGCACCACAAAAGACCCTGAATAGCCAAAGTTATGTTGAAAAAGAAAACCAAAGTGGAAGGCATCATGATCCTGGACTTTAGCCTCTACTACAAAGCTGTAATCACCAAGACAGTATGGTGTTGGCACAAGAACAGACACATAGACAAATGGAATAGAATAGAGAGCCCAGAATTGGACCCACAAATGTATGGCCATTTGACAAAGCAGGAAAACAATATCCAATGGAAAAAAGACAGTCTCTTTAGTAAATGGTACTGGGAGAACTGGACAGCAGTATGCAGAAGAATGAAACTGGACCACTTTCTCACACGATGCACAAAAATAAACTCAGAATGGACAAAAGACCTAAATGTGACACAAGAGACCATCAAAACCCTAAAGGAGAAAATAGGCAATAATCTCTTTGACCTCAGCTGCAGCAATTTCTTGCTAGACATGTCTCCCAAGGCAAGTGAAACAAAAGCAAAAATGAACTACTCATCAAGACAAAAATCTTCTGCACTGCAAAGGAAACAATCAACAAAAGTAAAAAGCAACTGGCAGAATGGGAGATATTTGCAAATGACATATTGGATAAAGGGTTAGCATCCAAAATCTATAAAGAACTTAACCAAACTCAACATCCGAAAAACAAATAATCCAGTGAAGAAATGGGCAGAAGACTGAATAGATACTTTTCCAAAGAAGACATCCAGATGGCCAACAGATGATGAGTGATGTTGAGCATCTTTTCATGTATCAGGGAAATACAAATCAAAATCACATTGAGATACCACCTCCCATTGCTCAGAGTGGCTAAAATTAACAACTCAGGACTACAGATGCTGGCGAGGGTGTGGAGAAACAGGAACCCTCTTGCACTGTTGGTGGAATACAAACTGGTGCAGCTGCTCTGGAAAACAGTGTGGAGGTTCCTCAAAACATTAAAAATAGATCTACCCTATGACCCAGCAAGCACTGCTAGGAATTTATCTAAAGATACAGGAGTGCTGATGCATAGGGGCACATGTACCCAATGTTTATAGTAGTGTTTTCAACAATAGCCAAATTATGGAAAGAGCCCAAGTATCCATCAACTGATGAATGGATAAAGAAGATGTGGTTTGTATATACAATGGAATACCACTTGGCAATGAGAAAGAATGAAATCATGCCATTTGCAGCAACATGGATGGAACTGGAAGGTGTTATGCTAAGTAAAGTAAGTCAGAGAAAGAAGACATCATATGTTTTCACTCATGTGGAACTTGAGAAACGTAATAGAAGACTATGGGGGAATGGAAGGGGGACAAATAGATTCGAACAGAGAGTGAGGCAAACCATAAGAGACTCTTAAATACAGAGAACAAACAGGGTGGATGGGGTATGGGGGAGGGGGAAATGGGTGATGGACACTGAGGAGGGCACTTGTTGGGATGAGTACTGGGTATTGTATGTAAGTGATGAATCATGGGAATCTACCCCACAAACCAAGAGCACACTGTATACACTGTATGTTAGCTAATTTGACAATAAATTATGTATTAAAAAAAATTTTGCTGCAGCTCCCTCCCCCCTCACTGCCCCCCCTCCCCAGTGCTGCATGGTCCCCTCCCCTCTCACAGCCTGGCACGAGGCTCCCTTCCTGTGCTGACCACAGGTAATTCTCAGGGACATCTTATCTAAGCATGTAACCACATCTGAAAGAATAATTCTGATGTGGTTAAGACACTGAGGTTCAGTAGTGGCCACACTGGTGAACAACCCCGTCTTTCCTTCCTACAAAGCAGTTTTTGGTAAACAACATCTTATAAATTTTGAGTCCCTGGTCTTTTATTTTCCACACATTCTTGACTCCTCCAAGGATAGAATAGGTTCCTCCTGTCCCTTCTAGTACAAGACTGTGTTCATTACATACAATATGCTAATGACTGGTTGCATTGTCTGTGACCTTCTCCAGATGGGACAACTGGAGGGCAGAGCCCTGGGCATCCTGTTCACTGCTGGGTTCCCAGCTCCTACACCTGCTTTGTCAGAACAGCTACCCAACCATGGACTGCTGTGCTGTGCAGTCCTGTTCCAATCTGCACTTTGCTCTCTCCGTGATCCGCTAAGGTATGGACCGGCACTATTCCAATTAAATGCACATGAAGCCAGGCACAGAGAGGTCAAGTCGTTGATTTGAGACTGCAGCACTCCTCACAGTGGCAATGAGCACCCAGATCTGTGACCGGACTTCAGAACCAGTGATGGAAGGAGGCTGCTCAAACAATAACCGTTATTTTTTGTGGGCTCTCTCTTAACTGTGAACAAAGCGTAGTTTTCTCCAGACTACAGTGTGTAGGAGGGAGCATGGTAAAGACACCCCTGGGCAGAGGCATAGGTTCATCAGATATTTGTTTCTCAAATTCCACAAAAAGAAAAAAAAGAAAAAAAAAAGGCAAGGAGAAAGCCCAAGGAATCGACACTTACCTTTCAGAAGTAAGACAGTTAAAACTGATCAGTTAGCTAAGTTTAGGGTAGACAATTCAAATCCCCACCCACTAGTTACAAGTTGAGTATCAACTTTTTAAATCCCTGGTTATCTGTAAGTGGGAATGACAACACTGATCCCATGAGGTTGCTCTGAGTAATGCCTAAGAGAGACTTAATATGAAGCACTTCATAAAGCCTGCACGGAACACTATGGTTATTTTCAGATCACCTAAAATTAGGTAAGCAAATGAACTTTGCTGAATTTACTAAATTTTACAGAGCCAATATAGTTTAATAGATCTATATATCTAGTAGAGATCTAGTAGATATCTAGTACACTCACACCTAATAGAGCAATATTATCACTATTGATAAGACTATTGATAGAAAGTTATCAACTAGGTAAAGGAATAGGATACAGTTCAAAGCCTATTCACCTATTTATTTGGGGTGGGGGGTTAAGCTCCTGAAAGGGCATCTCCCCCCACATTTAATTGGTTGTGGTGATCAAGGACAAAGCTGGTGTGATGAGAAACCAAGGAAGTTGTTAACACTGGCACATTAGATGCCAAGCAGGATATTAACACAGAACCTTCTACCAGCACTAGTTCCACACTGAAAGCAGGAGGCACCTGCTACTTTTATAATGTTCTGGATTTTTCGCAGATCACTTTATTCTCCACAGTTTTGTGTTCAACTGAAAATGGAGAGTACCGTCAGAGACTGTTCTCTAAATCGAATCTCCTGATAGAAACTTTACATCAATACAACAGCCACATGCACAGAAGGAGTCATAAACTGAAACATAAGCTGGAAGAATCAGTGGGTTTTCACCTCAAACTGTTCCCCTGGTTAATCAGAGGGGGTTGCAGGGGAGGATGGGTCCTTTGATCCCCACAGTGCAAAGTTAGACTGATGGAAACTCAGAAACCTTTACTGTAGGCCAAGCCAGTCATACACTATCAAACAGTACAGCACAATGTTGGGCAGATCTAAGGGTCTCCTGTAGGGACTAACTTTGAAAATAGTCTAGATTTAGTACAGCTCGTGAATATAAGCTATTTTTGGAGTGGTTTCTTTTCAGTAGCACTGCCACCTTCTCTGGCACACACAGCCTGAGCTGGGTCACTGCACAATCACCAGAGTAGGCAAGAAACCCATCCTATAAATGTGCCCTTGAAGACAGATGTGCCCTACGCGGACTCTGACATATGCTCTGTATTTCCTAGGGAAGCAAATGCTCTGGTGTCAAGCACCTCGGGTGAGAGCCAGGTGATGCTCCCCACAAGCTGATACCTAGTGGAGGCCTGGAGTCTAGACCCTCAGTCAGGGAGGACTGAGTTTCAATCCCATCTGCTGCCTTCTAACTCTGGTACCCTTCACAATAATTAACCTCCCTATGCCGTACTTTCCTCATCCATAAGATGGGCACGATCCCACTTCTTTGAATAAAGTTGCTCAGATGTGATGAGTTAGTCTCTGAAATGTTAATGTAGTGCCTGCCCCCAGCAACCATTTACTAACTTCTACTGTGGCCATTATAATGACTGATAACCAGTTCAGCCAACCTAGGTCAGTTTTTGTATAAAGTTATCCAATGATCAGAAACAAAGTTATCTGGAAGACCTGCTTTCACATTCTGTGCCCTAGTTTCTTGAAAAGTGTTTAAACAGAGATTACTGTATTTGCTTTGGGCTCTCTTAGAAAACGCTTCTCATATTTACTCAGCCAGGATGTTCTAATACTGGGCTTTACTGTAAAATGCAGAAGCTGTACTTGTAGCTCAGTAATGATGTAAAATAGAAATAAAAGTAACAATTCCCTACAAACTAACATCTAGTAGAGACTAGCCAACCAGGCTAGTGAAACAGCATCCCTGCCATCTTCTTTTTCCGTTTTAGTAATACTTGGTTGTCATCTTGCTGAAAAATGCTAGATGACTCTTATGGTTTTCTAGGGAGGTGTTCTGAATCAAATATTTGTTCTCTCATATTCTGGCTTCTACCTAACAATTAATTAAAGGCACTGGAGTAGAAAGTTTACTTAGAAACTTCCGGCACTGTGTCCCACAGGCGTGGTAAGATCAGAAACCCAAAGCTTCCCATTTAAGGGTTTAACAATTATTCTCCATAGAAGAAAGGGTTAAAAAAACCAACTGCTTTAGGTCATTTGGGATAAGTAGTGATATTTATAGGAAAATATTAACATGTCAGATCAATACCCTCTATGAATTATTTCAAGTAAAAAGTTTTATGATTTTGGTGAATTATATAGGGAACTATGTATTAATTTCTTACTGTGAACTCAAAGGAAAAAAGCTAACTGAATTCTCTTTTAGTTCCAGGAAGTCTAGTAAATACTTCTGTAATTCATAATTTTCACTAATTAGTCTTGGACAGCTCAGGATTTTTCCAAATTAGTAAAGTTTTACACTAAAAATAAGTTTATCTTTCTTTATCGAATTTAAGCAGAATTCTGTGGTGAAGCATATAATGAAAGATATGCTATTAAGGTAGGCGAGGAACAAAAAGGTAATTTTCTTCTACTATGGGAAAAGCTTAATCATTGAAGGAAATAAGCCTTTTTCCCTAGCACTTTCAGGGGCCTGTGGAATTCTCATTTTCCTGGGTCAATGGAACACAGCCCTGGTACCCCTACAAAGGTTCTGAATTTCAGGGGAGAAAAACGACACTCCTTAGGCTGGGCTTTTGCAGGTCGGTGCATTTTCCAGAGTGAAGACCACTCACCAGCTTTCCCCTCTGCTGGGCCGACCTGGTTTCTCGCAAGGTGTACACGTCTCCACATACAGAGATCTCACGCCAGACCCCAGGCTGGGACTCCTCAGTGAAGCCCCCTCGTGGATGCATCACCAGGACGCCATTTGTAGTGAGCCCGTCCATGTGGCCATCGGGGTTTTTCCATTTTGCTGCCTTTTCCTGGAGAGCATACCACAGAACAGAAAAAGCATGCTAAGATTATGTTCAAAATGAAGGGATTCCAGAATCTTTTAAAAATATCCAGTACGGGCAGAAGGAAGGAAAGTGATGAATTTTCATTTTCTATTTAAAGCTAATAATCAGAAGGATAAAATATGCAATTATTCTGATAACATGAAAGTGCTAAAATGTATGAATGATTTATCACTGGATATACATTATATTCATCTTGAGACTTAAGTTGAGGCAGGACCCCTTCCCTCAGAGATTCTTTTCTTTTAAAAATTTTTTTTTTTTTAAACCTTATTTTTGAGACAGAGAGATAAGCGCATGACGGGAGGGTGGGGCAGAGGAACACAGAATAACGGGAAGGTGGCTCCAGGCTCCGGGAACCCATCAGCCAAACAGAAGCCGAGGGAGACTCCGAACTTCATGAACAGCGAAGATGTCGTGACCTGAGCAATGGACGGGCAACAACGACCCCAGACGAGCCACCAGAGCTTCCGGGGAGATTCTTTTCTACCCACTGCCCTCACGCCTGGGAGAGTCCAGGAATCTAGACACGTTCTTCAGTTCTATTTGTGCAATCCTTTCGCCTCTTATCTGCCAGCACTTTACATGCAATTATTACCTGGGAAGTATACAGAAGAAAGAGGAAAAAACATACAAAAATTTTAAGACTGTTAGTCTGACAAGTTGTGGCTAGTATCTCTTCATAAATGTCAATGTTTGGATCCTCAAAGATGGAATGTAAAGAGCGCCTGATACGATGGCAGGACCAACACTCCTGGATGCTTGTGCCACAGTGACTTCTCTCCTCTTTCTTGGTGACAGAGATAGCTGTTGCAAACATGACTCAGGAGTAAATTCTGAGTTGGATAACCCTCTTGCCAGGGACTGAGCTCTGGCCAATGAGACATAAGAGGGTTTTTAAGAGCCTTCCTGGTAAAGATCCTTTGTTCTAAAAAGTAAAGGGAAAACAGTCTCCCAGTGGCATGGGTCATTCCATTTTCCTTGCCCCTCAGATGTACAACTAATCAGACATCTGTAACCAAAAAAGAGCATGGCTGTACAGCATCCAGGTCACCTGAAAGAGATCAATACATCTATGCCCGGAAAGTGGGTGCATTGAAACACAGAGGAGGCAGCGGAGAGGAGTTGCTGGGGAGCCAGAAGGCAGCAAAGGCAGTGGCTGGTGGGCAGGCAGGAGGATAGCGTAACCTTTCTGAAAAAGGAGGTGGAGGGTGAAGGAGGTAAGTGGGGGTCTGCCCCGTGCATGTTCTGTAGCTGGAAGGACCGAATGTTGTCTCCAAGGAAAGACTGCAGTGAGTGGGAGAAGGGAAATAGGCAAAAAGAATTTCAGGGAAGGGTCTCCCGCTCTTTGCCCCAGGGTTCTGGCTCATGGACTTCTGGGACTCGTTTCATCCCCATCCCAAGTTGAGGATCCCCCTTCCAGGCTGTGGGCACATCAAAGCCCCAAGAGCTAAGTACACACCTTCTCCAACTCTGCGGCACCCCCATTCCTTTTCCCTTGGTGGCCACTCCCAATCTTAGGAGGAAGTCAGCTCCTACCCCCAAGAGAAAACAAAAATTTGTGCTATGGCACCACCTTCTGGGAAGGGAAAAGAAGGTTCCCAGGTACCAACTTGAACTGTTAGAACCAAAGTAAACAGAACCTTGCCTAAATAGGGTGTTCCTTACTTCAAATGTGAGGACAGAGTCACTTTTAATCAAATACCATTAAAAATCATAGTAATACAGTACTACAAAAAGAAAATGACAATTTTCCAACAAATGAACCCAAAGACATGGAATACCACAATCTAACTGATAAAGAATTCAAAACAGCTGTTATGAAGAAATTTAATGAGCTACAAGAAAACTCAGAAAGGCAATACAATGACCTCAGAAATAAAATTAACAAACAGAAGGAATACTTTGCCAAAGACGCCAAAATTGTAAAAAAAGAACCAAACAAATTTTGGGCTTGAAGAACTCAATGAATGACATGAAGAATGCATTAGAATGCACTGGAAATAGAGCAGATCAGATGGAAGAGAGAATTAGCAAGTTGGAAGGCTGGAATAGAGAAATGCTTCAGATGGAAGAGGAGAGAGAACTAAGATTTAAAGGAAGTGAAGAAACACTACAAAAGCTAGCAAACTCCATTACAAAAGCCCATATATGAATAATGAATTTTCTAGAAGAAGAGAGGGAGAAAAGGACAGGCAGCATATTTAAAGAAATAATTCCTGAGAACTTCCAAAAGTTGGGGAAAGAACTGGATATACAAAGTCCATTAAGCTAACAGAACACCTTATTAACTCAATGCAAGATCTTCTCTAAGACACATTATATTAAAACTATTAAAAGTCAGTGATAAAATTAAAATTTTTAAAAATATTTATTTTTGAGAGAGACAGAGACAGAATGTGAATGGGTTAGGGTCAGAGAGAGAGGAAGACACAGAATTGGAAGCTGGCTCCAGGCTCCTCACTGTCAGCACAGAGCCTGACGTGGGGCTCGAACTCAAGAGCTGTGAGATCATAACCTGAGCTGAAGTTGGATGCTCGACTGAGCCACCCAGGTGCCCCCAATGATAAAATTTTAAAGGCAGCTGGAGGGGGCGGGGGGGGGGGGGGGGTAGGAAGAAAAAAAAAAAAAAAAGACAGTAACCTACAAAGTAATCTCCAGCAGGCTATCAAACTTCTCAGATAAAAACTGCCAGCCAAGAAAATTCCACCCAGAAAAGTTATGCTTCAGATATGAAGGAGAATTAAAAGCTTTCCCAGACAAACAAAAGCAGAGGGCGTTCACCACCACTAGACCTGCCTTACAAGAAGTGTTCAAATGAGATTTTCAAGCTGGAATGAAAAGACAGAAATACACAAAACTCTGATTAAGGTGTTAGTCAGAATTTTAAAACTGTAACTATTTATAGTAGTATATTAACTCCCAATTATAGCATAAAGGTTAACATTAAAAATACCTATAATAAATAATAAAAATAAATACAGCTACTACAACTTGGTAACCAAATCACAGCATAAAAAGAGATCATCTGTGACATCAAAAATATAAAAGGAAAAAAGTAAAAGGACAGAATCTTCATAGGCAACTGAAGATAAATTGCCATCAGCAGAAAAAGGACTGTTTTATCTGTGAGATGTTTTATGTAAACCTCATGATAACCACAAAACAAAAATTTAGAAGAGAGACACAAAACACTAAAAAAAAGAGTGGGAGACTGAACGAAAAGCACCATGGAAAACCACCAAGGTATAAAGGTAGGTAGAAACAGAAGGAAAAAGAACAATGGAGAGACAAGATAACCAGCAGGCAAAAGAGAAAATGGCAGTAATAAGTATCAACAATCACACTAAATGTATCAACATATCAACAATCACACTAAATGTAAATGTACTGACTCACCAAAAGGCATATAGTGGCAGTTGGATCTAAAAAAACCCACAAAATACAAAAAACAAAAACCTCCTGCCCTACAGGAGATTCATCTCAGCTTTAAAAAAAAAAATTTAATATGAAATTGTCAAATTGGTTTCTATACAACACCCAGTGCTCATCCCAACAGGTGGCTTCCTCAATGCCCATCACCCACTTTCTGCTCCCTCCCACCCCCCATCAACCCTCAGTTTATTCTCAGTTTTTAAGAGTCTCCTATGGTTTGGCTCAAAATTAAAGGATGGAAGATGATATTCCAAGCAAACAGAATACAAAAGAAGGCAGCTATAGCCATATAGCCATACTTATATCAGACAAAATAGATTTAAAGCCAAAAAGGGTAATAAGAGACAAAGTCATTACATAATCACAAAGGGATCAAGAAAGTACATCAAGAAAATATAATAATTATATGTATGTATGGAGATTATATGTATGTAATGTGTGTGTGTGTGTATGTATATACACACACACATCCCCAACATCCAAGTACCAAATTATATTAAGCAAATAATAACAAATCTAAAAGAGAAATATACAATGTAATAATTGTAGGGGACTTCAATACCTCACTATCAACAATGGATAGATTTTTCAGACAGAAAATGAAGAAGGAAACACTGGAATTAAACCACACTTTAGAACAAGGACTTGACAGACATCTACAGAACATCTTATCCCACAGAATATATTTTTCTCAGGTGCATTAGAATGGTCTCCAGGAGAGATATGATAGGCCACAAAACAAATTTTTGCAAGTTTAAGAAGACTGAAATCATATCAACTATCCTCCCTGACTACAATGGTATGAAAGTAGAAAGTTACAATGAGAGGAAACTGAGAAGATCTACAAATAATGTGGAAACTTAACAACCACTGGATCAAAGAAGAAATCAAAAGGGGAAAAATTATCTTGAGACAATTGAAAATGAAAACACAATATAACAAATATTGTGGGATACAGCAAAAGCAGTTCTGAGAAGTTTATAGCAATAAATATGTATATGCGAAATTAGAAAGGTCTTGAACAACCTAACTTTACACTTCAAGGAACTAGAAAAAGAAAAACACAAAAACAGCAAGCTCAAAGTTAGCAGAAGAAAGGACATATGGATCCAAGCAAAATAAATCAAATAGAGACCAGAAAAACAACAGAAGAGATCAACAAAACTAAGAGCTGGTTCTTTGAAAAGAGAAACAAAATTGACAAACCTTTAGCTAAACTCAGTAAAAAGAGAGAAGACTCAAAATTAGAAATAAAAGAGGAGATATTATACCTGATATTACAGACATACAGAGAATCATGAAAGACTGCTAGAACGTAGAAGAAATGGATACATTTCCAGAAACACACATCCTAGCAAGACTGAATCAGGAAGACTCAGAAAATGGGTAAAGAGATTGAATGAGTGTTAAAAAAAAAAAAAAAAAAATCCCAAGAAAATTCCACCACCAGATGGCTTCAACTAGGGAATGCTACCAAACATTTAAAGAAGAATTACTACCAATCCTCCTCAAACTCTTCCAAAATATTGAGAATGAAGGAACATTTCCAAACTCATTCTATGAAGCCAGCCTTACATTGATAACAAAACCAGATAAGGATACCACAAGAAAATTATAGACCAATGTCCCTGATAAATGTAGATGCAAAAATTCTCAACAAAATATGAACAAATCAAATTCCAGAACACATTAAAAGGATTAGACACCATGACCAAGTGGAATTTACCCGAGATGCGAGGTTCAACAGATGCAAATTAATAAACGTAACACATCACATCAATAAAATGAAAGGTAAAAATCACACGATCAATTCAACAGACACAGAAAACTATTTAACAAAATACAACATCCCTTCAGAATAAAAACCCTTAACAGGTTGGCTACAGAAGGAACATACCTCAACAGGCCGTATATGACAAACCTACGGCTAAACATCATACTCTAGGGGGAAAAACTGAAAGTGTATCCTCTAAGGTTGGAAACAAGACAAGAATGCCCACTCTTACCATTTCTGTTCAATACAGTACCAGACGTCCTGGCCAGCGCAATTAGGCAAGATAAAGAAATAAATGGCATACAAACTAGAAAGAAAGTAAAACTGTCACTATTTGCTGATGATATGATCTTATTTATTGACAATCACAAGCAATCTGTCAAAAAGCTGTTGGAATTAATGATTTCAGTAGTGTCGGGACACCAACATACAGAAGTAAGTTGCATTCCTTTACACAAATAATGAAGCATCTAAAAAAGACAAAAAGAAAACTATCCCATTTGCAACAGCATCAAAAACAAAATACTTAGGAACAAATTTAATCAGGGAAGTGAAGGATCTATATACGATGAAAAGTACAAAACGTTGTACTGAGCTTTGCCGAAGAAATTGAAGACACAAACGGAAAGCACCCCATGTTTATGAATCAGAAGAATAATGTTAAAATGGCCATACCACCCAAATCCATCTACAGAGTCAATGCAATCCCCATCAAAATATTAAAGGAATTCTTCACAGAAATAGAAGCAATAATCCTAAACTCTGTGTGCAACCACAGAAGACCCCAAATAGTCAAAAAATTAAAAACAGAACTACCATATGATCCAGCATTTCCACTTGTAGGCACATACCCACAGGAAATGAAAACAGGATTTCAATGAGATATATGCACTCCCATGTTTATCTCATTATTCCCAACAGCCATTATTGGAAACCACCCCAACGCCCATCAATGAATGAATGGATAAAAAAAGACACTGTACATATACACAGTAAAATATTATTTACCCATGAGAAAGGAGGATATCCTTCCATTTGCAACAACACAGATGGACCCTGAGCGCATTATGCTAAGCAAGCCAGAGAAAATAAGTACTATAGGATATCATTTATAGGTGGAATCTAAAAAACTTAAGCCTATGCAAAACAGAGCAAAGTGGTTACCAGGGATGGATGGGGGCAGAGGGACCTGGAGAGAGTGGTAAGATTGATGGTGTTTATTGGGTACAACTTGTAATGAGCAGCAAATTAGCCATTGAGATTTAAGGCACCATAATATGAATATAGACCATATTACTGTACTATAGTTGTGAATGTGGTAAATATTGCTACATCAGCAAGTATTTTACAACATACAAATGTATCAAAGTAACAGGACTGCACCCCTTACATTTACACAATGGTACATGTCAAATTTATTCAACTACAAAAAGTAAATAACAAAACAATAAAAAGGGATAAGGATAGAAACTGCCTGTGCCCGCCTCTTCTTCAGCTACAAGTTGTTATGTGGAGGGACGTACGGAGTGCAGGAGCCATCCCTCAGCCCTAAGGCTGCCTGAGGAACCCTGATTTGCGCAGGGAGGGAGGGGCAAGACAGAACCAACGTGGTTCCCTGGATGTCACAGAACCACTGAAGCAATCAACCCTGGAACTGTCTTCCCTGGCACTCCTTGTTACATGAAATAATACATTTTTATTATTGTTTAGGCCATTCCGAATGGTTTTTGTCCTCGCAAAAACATCCTGAATAAAAAAACCCCAAAACTATATTAAAACTGAACATTCACCAAAACTTCTGGGTTTGATTTACATGGAAGCCTTATGAAGCCAGAGAAGCCTTATGAAGCCTTAATCTGTTTTGTTCTCTGCCATAGCACATCTATAACACGTGACCGGGAGCACAGCCAATACCCAATGAAATTTTTTGAATGAATGAACGTCACTTTTTCCTTTGAACCCTATTTATGTAGATTTGACCATTATTTTTCCCTCTGAAATCACCTCCCTTAAATCTACTAAAAATACATTAAGAACAATGTTAATATACATTTTTTAAAAAGTAATTACTGTACATATTATAATACAGCAAGTGGAACAAGTATCAAGGAACTTCATTACTTTCAGATTTTTTTTTTTTTTCAAGGTTTATTTTTGGGACAGAGAGAGACAGAGCATGAACGGGGGAGGGGCAGAGAGAGAGGGAGACACAGAATCGGAAACAGGCTCCAGGCTCTGAGCCATCAGCCCAGAGCCCGACGCGGGGCTCGAACTCACGGACCGCGAGATCGTGACCTGGCTGAAGTCGGACGCTTAACCGACTGCGCCACCCAGGGGCCCCACTTTCAGATTTTTAATAACAGCCTCACAAAACTCCACCATCTGAAAACCAAAATCTCCAAATGTAACTAGAGGCGTCGTGTCAAGCAGATTTTTGGCCACAATTAACTGTTATAGCTGATAATAATGGGTGTTATTCTTGAAACAATGGGCTTAGTCATAGTACTTACTCCAAGAAATATGTTTTTGGAAGAGTCGAATCCGGCTGCGAATATCCGTGCTGTGTAAGGTTCGCTCCTGTCGCAGACGATCCTGCAGGCAAACCTGGATATGGTGCTTTGTGTAATCTGGGCCTCATCATTGTTCTGACTGCCCGAAATTGTGTCTGTAACAACGAAGTCGATAGGGCTTTCTGTTGATCTGCCCACCTAAATAAATCAAACGCACTCATGACTCATTTTGAAAAGGATGTCACCATATTTTGTTCACATGGAATGAGTGTTCAGGATCCTTTTAACGTTTATTATCTCTGCTCTGAGGGTAAGAATTTAATGAAAAAAAATGTAGTTCTGTTCCTTTTCTTGTTTAAGTGAGATATTATAGTAACCGATCATCAGATTTTAAATATTAAGAGAAAAGCTAAATTTTTTATCTGGGAGAAAAACATGAAGTCTTGCCCCCCAACAGATTGTATTTCTTGGACCAGGTAAAAATATTATTCTAATAGAGAATTATTCTCTCCCTCACCCCCTCTGCCCCTCTATTTCTAGCTGGAAAAAAAACAAGATTTTAAAGAAAGCCAAGAAACAAAGGAACTGTTGCCCAGCCACAGGGATTGTTTTCCCTACGTAAATCCAGTGACTCATGGCGTGGGGCAAGAATAGCCCTAACCCAGACATAGACTAAATGCCTGTTGCCATACTCTCTGTAAATGAGAATGATGTAAAGGGCTATACAAGTCAGCCCAAAGTTTGGGATGTAGTCAAGTGAAATATTTAAAAAGCTGGTCTTAACATTTCAATTTTGGATTAAAAAAAAAAAATCTCTCTTGGGAAAGTCTGAAAGAGTTGCCAATAATATTATGTTGACTTATTTTCCTTGGTAAATTTAAATGCTTCAGAAAGAATAGATTTCATTAGGAAGATCTTACAGTTCTAGAAAAGGTTTTCATATTCAATAAATCCAAATAAGGGAGGCACTGCTCTGTCCTGGAAACTGGGAAGAGTTAAGTACTTGTTTACAAATAAAAAAATTCTCAAGGGGTGCCTGGGTGGCTCAGTTGGTTAAGTGTCTGACTTTGGCTCAGGTCATGATCTCACTGTTCGTGAGTTCAAGCCCCACACTGGGCTCTGTGCTGACAGCTCGGTGCCTGGAGCCTGCTTCAGATTCTGTGTCTCCCTTTTCTCTCTGCCTCTCCCCCACTCGTGCTCTCTCTCTCTCAAGAATAAACTTTAAAAAAATTTTTCAAAAATCCTCAAGACAAAATATTAAAATGTTCACGTAATGCTGTTCTATGCATCTCTTAACTAGTAAAAAGTGATAAATGTTCTATATATGCCAAAGAGACTTTTTAAATTAAAATCATTTATATGTAAATAAATCATTTCTCACTAAAATATGATATTAATGTTCTCTCCTAACACTAGTGACTTTGATTCAGAAGCTGACAAGGGGAGGGACACATGGAACTCCCAGATGTGTACACATAAGCCCCCCTAAAAGTCAATTTCCCAGGTATTTTTATCGTGATCTCAAAATTCTATCTAACACATAAGATGTATTTTTCATCCAAATGAATAAAAGTAAAAAAAAAAATTATCTTGCATCATTTAGCTCTGTTGGCTTCCTGGAAAATTATTATTGTATTTCTTTTGTAAATCTCACACATTTTTATGCACAGACTATCTCTATTAAGCCAACAGACAGCATTCATCTATTTTCTGTCTCTCTCTCTCTCTCTTTTTTTTTTTACAACACTTAATTTCTTGTCCTAATGAAATGTGCCTGGCATAAACGAAACCTCTGGTTTCACTAAAACTCATCAACTTGAATAGATGCATATTGCCTGAATATATGCATTTCAGGTTTAGAAAATATATAACTTGTTTAAAATGCAACATAAAACCTAAATTAAGAGATATTATAAAACCTTACCATAGAATTCATCTTTCTAAAGTTGAGAGTCTTCCCTCTGCTAGATTCATTTAAAAGCTGGGTGTATAACTTAGAAGCTCTGATTCAGACTGCTCTCTTTCTTTGAGCCTTTTTTTTTTCTTTTTATAAAAGCTATTCTCTTAGCGACTTTCAAGGATACAATACAGTATTATTAACTATAATCACCATGCTGTACACTCGATCCCCAGAACCTATTCATCTTACAGCTGGAAGTTTGTACTATGTGACCAACTTCTCCCTCTTTCCCGCACCCCCTCAGCCCCTGGTAACTACCATTCTAGTCTCTGCCTCCATGGTTTTTTTTTTTTTTTTTTTAGATTCCACATATAATTGATATCATACAGTATTTACCTTTGATCTATTTCACTTAAAAAAATTTTTTTTAATTAGAAAAGTAACAAATACTTATTGCAAAATATTCTACAAATACAGAAAAGTATAAACAAGAAAATAAAGGCTACTCTAAACTCAGGAATAAACTTGTACTGTCCAACGAATAACCTTGTCCAATGAAGCTGGGGAGTGAAATGGGGTGAGTTCTACAATTGCCTGGAGCTCTCACAAAGACACGGTCTCTGACATCGTTTCTGTTACCTCCATGAAGAGGGCAACGGCTCTTCAAGCTCTGTTGTAAGCTCAAAGCTAAAGCCATGCTCTAGTAGAATGTCACAGGCTTGTCACACACAAAGATTACACTCTTCCGTAAAGGCCACTGTGATTTCATCCCAATATATTAATGTCTTGATGAATTAACTGAAATGGACTGTAAAACATGACATTTCAACTGGAACATACCGTTACAATCAATTATTTCAAGTCATGATACTTATCTGACTGGTCATGTTTGATTTGTTTATCAATTCACTCCCACTTAAATATAACCTATAGGGTGCCAGTAAAATTTTATACTTTCGGATACATGTTGCTTTTGCCAGGAAAAAAAAAAACAAAACTCTAAGCCACTTTCCTACTGAAAACTCACCCCGTGCGCAAAACTTGGAACCCATCCTTTTGAATACTGGATCAACTCTACGTTATCTTAAGGGGAGTCATGTAGACAAGCCAAGATGTTCCTGAATTTCACCTGATAATCATACAGTGCTGATACTCATAGAGTAACCACAGGGAGAATTTTACTGATACCACAGACATGGCATCGTTCAGCATTTTTTTAAATTTTATATATTTTAGAAAGGTTTGGGTTTGCCTGGTTGTCAGTCGAAGTCAGTACAGGTAAGATGGCATCGAAGAACTTGGAAGGGCCTCCCTCACCTTTCCTGGACCAACGCTACCCATATCCCTGTATCTGTAACCTTATTTTCTGATGTCCCTCCTATGACAAGGATGGAATGTTGCTGCTTCTATCCAAGACCAATCTCTTTACTGATGTGGGCGTCTCCATATTCTTCCCAAGGATTTTGCTCCTGATATTGTCCCCTCTCTCTCCTGAATCTTCAATTTCTCTCTTTATACTAGATCTTGCCATCAGCTACCAAACACATTGTGAAGCTTCTCCAACTCTGTGACTCTGTGGGGGTAAAAGGACCAATTTTTTTTTTAAACAGCAACTTGTCACTGATACTTTTTAAAAGTACAATAAAAATGAGTATTAGAAAAATGATCATCTGCTTGGGTGTTTCAGGTACTATAAAAGGTGCTGTAATGGTTTCCAAAGTCCTCTCCATGTCCTACTCCGCTCATTCTGTACCATTAACAGACGCTTGGATGCTCAGCTGAGCACACTTTGAGTAGCACTGTTCTAGATTAGTCTCTCTCATCTTTAAAAACACATTCCTTCCAGGGCACCTGGATGGCTCAGTTGGTTAAGCGTCCGACTTCAGCTCAGGTCAAGATCTCACCGTTTGTGGGTCCCAGTCCCGCATCGGGCTCTGTGCTGACAGGTTGGAGCCTGGAGCCTGCTTCGGATTCTGTGTCTCTGTCTCTCTCTCTGTCCCTCCCTCACTTGCATTCTCTCTCTTAAAAATAAATACACATTGGGGCGCCTGGGTGGCTCAGTCGGTTGGGCTTCCGACTTCAGCTCAGGTCACGATCTCGAGGTCCGTGAGTTTGAGCCCCGCGTCGGGCTCTGGGCTGATGGCTCAGAGCCTGGAGCCTGCTTCCGGTTCTGTGTCTCCCTCTCTCTCTCTGCCCCTCCCCCGTTCACGCTCTGTCTCTGTCTCAAAAATAAACAAACATTAAAATAAATAAACATTAACAAAAATTAAAAAACAAAACACATTCGTTCCCCTGCAAGCAGCCTTTAACCTATGGCCCCATCTCTCCAGTTCAGTTAGAGGCAATACTTCCTGAAAAACCTGTCACTAGTTACCACCCTCCCATGTCCTGACTCCTCCCTCACTCAACTTCTCTCAACCCACCTGTGGAGTTCCTACCCCAGGGCAGTACTGATCACACTACTGCAGAGCTCAGCCAGCACATCCTGGCACATCTGTACCTGGTATTAGAATAATGCAGCCCGGGGTGCTTTGATAGCTCAGTTGGTTAAGCGGTCGATGCTTGGTTTCAGTTGAGGTCATGCTGTTGTGGTTCGTGAGACTGAGCCCCCCTGTGTTGGGCTCTGCACGGAGTGTGGAGCCTGCTTGGGATTCTCTCTCTCCCTCTGCCCCTCCCCGGCTCCCTCGAGTGCCCTTTCTCTCAAAATAAGTAAATAAAAAAAGAAAGAATAAGGAAACCCTACAGGCTAGTTGGTAAATCATCCCCTTCCCTTCTCTTTCTCTTCTCTCCCTAGGTAATCTCGTTAAATCCTACTATTAGCCAAAAGTCCTGATCTTTACCAGAGCTTCAGACTATCATGCCCAATCTCCACTTCGGAATCTAATAAGCATCTCGAAATGTAACATGTTCTAAACAGAGCCTGGATTCTTCTTCAATCCCTAGATGCCCTGCCAAGGACTGGTATCCAATTTGCTCAAGCTGAAACTCAGTATCAAAATATTATCCTTGATTGTTTACCTTCCTTCGCAGCCACCTGTCAACACTGCCTCCAAACACAGCTTCCGTCCTTTCATTTCTCCCACCTTAGTTCCAGTTACTGTCAGTTTTTACTAGGATTGCATTGCCTTAGTCTCCAAACTGGTCTCTGTTTTAACATGTCACCTCCATTCCTTTTGAGAGAGTATGTGAAGATATCTTTAAGAAATATCAATTAGACTATACCCCTCTCTTGCTTAAAACTCAATTTTTTTACTTGGCCTTAAAGGCCCCACCTCTCCAAGCTCATCTCATTTCACTG